TGTATCCGACCCTGCAGCTCCAGGGAACAAAGTCTCCGGGAGCTGCAGGGTCAGATAAAGCGGAGTGTCGGATTACTGGGTGTCGGTTAATCCGAACTCCACTATACTTCTGATTGATGTTAGCATTTCCTTACGTGTTTTATCATCATCCTCACTGTCAGAAAACACAGCTGCTTTCCTCTTGACAGCCTTCTCTTCATCTCTCTCCTCTTCTTCATCACTATCTGCTATTTTCCGTCTCTTAGGACCTTCCTCCTCACTCTCCTCATTCTCAGAGTCGCTAGCTACATATTTCGGGGGCTCCTCATTCTCAGAGTCGCTAGCTACATATTTCGGGGGCTCCTCATTCTCAGAGTCGCTAGCTACATATTTCGGGGGCTCCTCATTCTCAGAGTCGCTAGCTACATATTTCGGGGGCTCCTCATTCTCAGAGTCGCTAGCTACATATTTCGGGGGCTCCTCATTCTCAGAGTCGCTAGCTACATATTTCGGGGGCTCCTCATTCTCAGAGTCGCTAGCTACATATTTCGGGGGCTCCTCATTCTCAGAGTCGCTAGCTACATATTTCGGGGGCTCCTCATTCTCAGAGTCGCTAGCTACATATTTCGGGGGCTCCTCATTCTCAGAGTCGCTAGCTACATATTTCGGGGGCTCCTCATTCTCAGAGTCGCTAGCTACATATTTCGGGGGCTCCTCATTCTCAGAGTCGCTAGCTACATATTTCGGGGGCTCCTCATTCTCAGAGTCGCTAGCTACATATTTCGGGGGCTCCTCATTCTCAGAGTCGCTAGCTACATATTTCGGGGGCTCCTCATTCTCAGAGTCGCTAGCTACATATTTCGGGGGCTCCTCATTCTCAGAGTCGCTAGCTACATATTTCGGGGGCTCCTCATTCTCAGAGTCGCTTGCATGACCTTTTTGATGGTCCTCATTTTCTGATTCACTATTCAGATGCTTATGGGGATCCTCATTTTCAGAATCACTATTATGGCCTTTTTGAGGTTCTTCGTTTTCAGAGTCACTTGCATGGTGATTTAAGGCATCTTCATTTTCAGAGTCACTTACATTATGAATTGGATGGTCCTCAATATCAGAATCACTGTCTTTGACCTCATGAGCCCCTTCATTTTCTGAATCACTGGCATTGTGATTTGGAGGGTCCTCATTTTCAGAATCACTGTCTTTTTGCTTTGGGGTGCCTTCATTTTCAGAATCTGTCGTGTGATGGTCTCTAGTTTGGCCATCATCTTCTCCATCACTTTGTTCATTCTGGAAAAGAAAAACAATCCAAGACAAACTGTAAATTAAGAAGCACAGTAACAAAGAAAAACTTTCCATTTAAGGATGGCAACATGAAAATATTTTAGACACAGAAACAGACAAACTACAGCATCACACAATTCAATGAAATATAAACATTTAAAAATCCAAATGAGAATTCCAAAAGCATCACACAATTCAATGAAATATAAATATTTAAAAATCCAAATGAGAATTCTGTCCACTTTACTATTAATCAATCATCTATTTAGGTAAAGATTTAAGAAAATAATGACTCAGTGTGAGCCACCTTAAGGGTTCTAATTGTCAGAAGATGAATACACAGCACTTCCAGAAAAAACAGGGTCTTAAGGTATTTCACTTGGGGTACATCCAGACTGCAGGCTTCTTTCGAAAGACGCTTTTTCGGAAGAGATCTTCCGAAAAAACTTCTTCCAAAAGAGAGCATCCACACTTCAAAAGTACATCAAAAAAGCTATCTGCTTTTTCGAAAGAGAGCATCTACACTCACTAGACGCTCTCTCACATGTAAGCTGTGATTCTTATGGATGGAGTGGCCACCGGGGCACCTGTGCTTTCTCCTGGAGGTCCCTTCTTTCAGAAAAACTCCCTTTTCCTTGTCCACACACGCCTTTTTCTGCAAGAGCTCTTTTGGAAAAGGTGTTCTTCGTTGTTTCGGTAAAAACCCTGCAGCCTTTCAAAAGAACGCAATAGCAGTGTGGACGTAAGTGAAGTTTTTTCGGGAAAAGGCCATTTTTCCCGGGGGGGAGGAGGGGGACGGCCTGCAGTCCAGACGCACTCTGAGGCTCCCAAAAACTGAACAATGCAAAAATCACTAATCAGTTTTGAAAATCCTGGCGATAAACCTATAAGCTTCCAAAGAAGGGATTGTGTTCTTTGTATGGAATATATTCCTTACTAAAATAACACATAATATAAAGAATAACAGTAGTTGTATAACATATTGCCAAAAATGGATTTGTGCCTTGTTCTTTAGAATGTACAAAGAAAGCCTAAAATTTACTTGCATTTCTAATATAACATGGCAGGATTAAAAATAAAGTATTGTCTGCTATGGAGAATTATGACCAGAGATCTACTGAATATATGTGTCAAGAGAGAAGAGATTTTTAGTCAAACAAAATAAAGGTTTCTGTTCATTTTTATTAAAATGTTTCATTTCAATGACAATAACTAATAAACATTTTGGAGGAAGGACATCTTTTTTAAAAGATTCAACACCTTTTCCTTTCCAGTGAAGCAGTGAGCTAATATGTTCCCTCAGAAACCTGGGAGATCACTTGGCAAAAACCAAGGAGATTCAAAGCTAACATTATTGACACTTACAAATTAAAAAAAGTCATTTTTAAACTAATCTGGATAAGTCCTTTGCATGTCATAAAACTTTTGAATACTAATACTGGTGACAGGATATAACATTTTAATTTATCCTGGATGGAAAAAGGAAGTTTATATCATCCATTCTCCCACCAGAATAAAATCTGAATATTAAATTTCCCTCTAAAATTAACACTCCAATATTATCCAATCCTGCAGAGACTTTTCAGACATTTTCCATTCCCTAGCTATTACCCAATTCAACAGTTCAGCATATCAAACTTCTAATGCCAGAATAAGCCTGTCTCCCTACCAAACAGAGAATAGAGCACTGTGAAAATAACTGTTGTTCTTTCTATTGCACTGATACAAATGGGACATCACCTCTCCCTTTTTTTCCTCTTTTTTTTTCCTCTTGCCTAATCTAAAGTTTCTCTTTTTTAGCTTTAGATTCTGAGCTCTATCATCTTTGCAAAATGACTAACTTATTTCTTGTATTTACCACGAACACACAGAGACATTTCCTTTCATGTTTTCACCTGGCCGTAAGCTTGGAAAGCTGCATTCTATAGCCACCTACTTCTTCTATGTGCATTTTCCCCACAATTAAGAACTGCATACAATAATTCAGATGCATTTACACCAGGGCTAAACTGAAGTGCACAGTTAATTAACATTTTTACTTAAAATTCTCATGTGCATACACTTGAAATTTGACCATGATTTTAGCAACTGCTGTTTTTATAATCACTAAAAAGGCAATGCTATTTGCTATGCAGAATTTTAGATCCCAGATTTCAAGTGATGCATTTCTCTCTAACTAGCAGTCCAAAGATATTACCTTCTAAATTACATCACAGCTGCAGACACAAGGAAGCAGCAAACCAGTAACAGAACTACATTATCTTAAACCATGCAAGTGACCAAATCCATCTTAAAAACGTTACTTGTGTAAAATCTCTTAGCAGCACCACAATAAGAAGCTAACATTTTATCTTTATTGGTCTTTTTCCCTGTAACATTGGCAGTTATAAGGAGGCCAATTCTAAGTTCCAATTTCCTATGTTTATAAAAAATTACAATGCCAAATTAGAGAATTATTTTTAAAAAATTAAAACAAAAATTATGACTAAGGAGGCCAATTCTAAGTTCCAATTTTCTATGTTTATAAAAAATTACAGTGCCAAATTAGAGAATTATTTTTTAAAAATTAAAACAAAAATTATGAAGGTAGAAAAATTCCTAAAGCAGCATGGGACCAGGAGTTCTGTTTGACCACAGTGTTCATTGCCTCCCACAACACAATGCAGGTTGCCTCTGGAACTAGCTAATTGTGTCATTTTTTTCCCCACTCCTGCAAGGTGTCTCCTAAGTAATGTGCCAGGAATGTGTCGCATCCATCTGCCGATTATTGCTGCATTTGGCATGCTTTCTCTCAACACACTCTTGAAGAAGGAGCTATGATCAAGAAGAGAGCTGAGGCTGAGGAAGAGAAAGGTTGAGAATGCCTGTAGCAGTCAGTGCTGTTTGTTATCAAGAATATCAGGATGGAATCTACAGAGTGAATGCTGGTCAGTGCTAGAGGTGAGGAGGATTAGAAAAAAATTCTCATCACCTTCTGGTGGAAGAGCTTTGTACCTTACCATGCACCCTCCTAATACATTTTTTTTTACTTCATTCAACTGTACATCATGAAGTGAGGAATTGTTCATGATGCCAGCAGTAGTATAGCAGTTGTAGCACAGGTACAACTATTAATGTTTACCTCCTTTATTTTACAATTTGACAGGTCTGGAAACTTTTGGGGGATACGTAATGAGAAAGTAAAACAATTCGATCCCTGGATCAATAGCATTGGCTGCAAGCTGATGGTTTATCTTTCAGAATAGACTAGAAAGATCTTGGTAACTTGGTATTCATGTTAGTTAATAAGAAATCAAAGCAGAATAAGCATGTAGGGACATTAACAGTATATCTCAGAAATCACAGTACAATAACAAATCATAGCAGTTCCAGCAGCATTACTATTTTTTCCACAGGATGCAACGTATCTCTCTACGTCTGTGACAGGTCTTTCCTGAGAATAAAGAGGAGTTTAAAATCCTATGTAGCCTGTATGTTTGGTGCAGTAGTTATCTTTAATTTTCTTTTTTGAGCACCCAACAACATGGGGCCTCACTCAATTCCGATTAAGGCCTCTGGGCCCTGCATTACTACAAGTAATTGGCATACTAAAGACCTGTTTGAGTGAACACAATGGAAAACACACAGAAAACTATCTGGACTGAAAAGCGTATATGAATAAAACAGTTTATGAAAGTCTGGCTTGGAGTACATACTTCATATGTGTAACATTAAGAATGTGACTTAAGAGATATTATTTTAGTTAAATGACTAAATGTGATGAACTAGAAAATGAAACAAGAAAGAAGCTTGGGACCTAAGCCTTGTGAGACTGTCAGTTATTTTACTACTTCGTCTCTAAAAATTTGTTTAGAAGAAATTATGCAACACATATGCATTTAATATCAAAAGTTTTCTATGTTTCTTTTCCAAATACTTAGTTCAAAGAAAAGATCAGACAATGTCAATGATAGGTAGGTCTCAGATAGCTGTTCCCCACCCGATTTTTCCTCTAAATCCTTTGCTTTCTTTTCTTTCTCCTCTTTATCTATAAACTATTTACTTGAAATGTCCTTAATTATCTTGCTTTGGCTGAAAGCATTCAACGACAGCACTTTAGTACAGGATAGTCTATCGAATGTATTAAAATCAAATTTTCCATTTTACTCTTCTATGTAAAACATTAACAGATTAGCAAATAGATTACTGGATCAATGCATAAAGTTAAAAAGTTAGTCACCCAGTATGATCCCATGAATTATTACAACCAAGTTTACATAATCAAATGATGATCAGGCATTTAGTGTGAATTTAAAAATCCAAGATAAATAAGAAAAGATTTTCCATAAAATCCCAGACTCCAATCCTGTGACCGAATATGCAATGATAGGTCCTTATATAATAGGGCTCCACTGCAGTTAGGAAGGGTCACAGCATCTGGCCTCTAAATCACACGAACACTGTAAATGTGATTTAATATGCATCACTGTACTAAAACTGTGCACCACCTAACTCTACTTAGCTAAAACAGAACTGATAAGGACATCATCAAGTGGGAGAGGAAAGGAAAGCCAGAAAAGAATTATAGAAAGAAAACCCTCCCCACATACCTGAGACCCACAAATCTAAGACCTACATAAATCCTCAAAAACTCTCTTTTCTTTTAGTAAGAACCTGGAAAAGAAGTTTAAAAAAATTTAAAAAGTTTTTAAAAGTTAGTTTTTAAAAAATCAAATTGAATTCTAATTTAGAGACGAAATAGTAATTAAAAAGACTTATCTGATTAGGCTCTCTCAAAGGTTTTATTACCCTTGAATGTCAGTCTTCCAACATTCTCCTATGGATGAAGAAAATAAAAGGACATAAGAAACAAATTAAGAAACGAGAATATGTTAAGTCACTCCTTTTGGGAGGTGATTCTTGTGTGCTGTAATTTCAACTACATCTCTTATCTTGGCTTGTAAGAAATCTGGAAATTACTGACTTGGCAGGCAAAACTAACATGTTTTATAATATACTTGTGGTTTTTAAGATTATCCAAATATCTTTAAAATCTATTGTTAGGGGGTCTTGTTTGAAATTAACTGGACTGAGTATTTTAACCATTGTCAAAGACAAAGGTGTCTCCAAGTAAACTAAAGTGTACTTATTGACACACTACATATCCCTTACATACTGTCATGAGCATGTACAACAAGGTCAGATGAGAATGATGGTAGCTCCCTAATGTTAATTTTCTCTTATTTTTTATTAGCAGTGGATATGTGGAAAAGTTGTTAATACAAAGGACAATCTGAAAACAATTGCTTATATATTTAAACAAGATCTCAAATTATCATAAGTGTAGTATGTAACACTAACACCCCACACGTCTATACAAGTGTTGGAATGATTAGCCCAACCCCCATCTGTCAGATGAAATGCTAAAGGTCCCTCAAGACTGCAATATTACCTTCCTGATCACATTGGCTTCTGTTTTGCACTGTTTGTCATATCCTGGAATTATTCATTCCCTAAAACACTACCATCTCTCCATCCTGCACATACTGAAGCCATCCCTCTGAGCACCTATCATCTCACTTATGCTAAGAAAATTACTCCTGGTAAGGGCACCCCACAAACTTCCTCACTCCCACAGAGGACACTCGGATCACCTCCACCATTTCTGATCTGGTTTCTTCTGCTGCAAACACTGACACCCCCCCCCCCACACACACACAAAGGCATTCTAAATTTAAAAGCCAAATAAGTACATTTTTTTTAAAAATCATGTCATAATAAAAACTACTTTATTCTATTTTCTCTTTCCAACATTTGGAATTTGAATGATATAACACACAAATAGTTCTGCTACAAGAACAAAACAGGATTGCATGATGAACTACATAAAAGAGTGAAGTCTTTCAGTTTCTTACAGCATATCACATTAGGGATGTTAAATTGCAGGTCATCAGCTAATCGAGTAGTTGATGGAATTTCCAACCCAGGAGCTAACCCTGCTGTGGCTCTGACTTTTAAATATATTAAGAGCTACCAGGTTCTTAATACATTTAAAAGACAGAGGCGTAAAGGGGGGAGACAGGGTGTGAGCCAGGAATCAGCTCTTAATACATTTAAAAAAGCAGAAGCACAGTGGGGGAGAGGGGGGGGAGGGAAGGGAGGTGGGAGACCAGGAGCAAGCCAGGACAGCTGATTCCTGGCTCACTCAGGTCCCCCGCTACGCATTTGCCTCTTTTGCTTCCCCAAAATGGTGCTGGGGGGAACCAGCTTTTGAGTCAGCTCCCCCAAGCACCAGCTCCTGCTTCCCTACCCCAAAATGGTGCTGGGGGGAACCAGCTTTTGAGTCAGCTCCCCCAAGCACCAGCTCCTGCTTCCCTACCCTTGCTGCTTCTCTCTGACAGAGGCAGCAGGGAAGGGGGGGAGAGGGCGGAACTAGTAGAGTCAACTAGTCAGTTACATCTCTATATCACATTAACTATTTACACAGTTTGTAACACACTACAGGTTGAATTTCTCTAATCCAGCACTCTTGGGACATGACTGGTGCGGAACCAGAGAATTTACCAGACTCATGGGAGGTCAATATTGTCTAGCAGCATTACCAGCACTTCCAATGCATAATGGGCTCTTAGAAGACATTTAGGGGTAAATGAGAGCTGAAAAACAGCACAGAACACTAAGAACCAGGGTTGGTGGCTGTAAATAGCAGTGGGATTGCAAGGAACTTGGTTACACCCATGATAAGCAGACATCTGGCTAACTAAAATCATGCCAGGCCACAGGTGTTGCCGGACTAGAGACATTCAACCTATATATAAACACAATACACACATAGTAACAACTACATCATGTATCTCAATCTAGAACACAGAACCAACTTTAAACAAGAAATTTACTGTACACAAGCTGGTATTCAAATTGTAACAAATTATTTCACAGTAAGTGTGAATAAGGCCTTCTCCACACTACTGACTAGGAAAAGACAGAGAATGTCACGGGCCCAGAATATCCCATTCCACAATGAAAGCCATAGGAAGGGACTTTTGGTGAGAAAACTTTACAAAGAAATCCTTGTTGAGATTCCTTCACAACTGTCATGTGGGGGAGAGGGGAAGGGTTGGAGAAATCTTCTGTGACCTGTGGAAAACTTGTTCTTTTATCTTGCAGATCCCATGGGATCTGCATGAAAGTTCTGTATCCCTACAACAGTTCTGGAAGTGCTTCCCTCTCCATACCCCACTCTCAAATTCCAGTCATAGTAAACTGAATCCCACTCCTGGGCCAGCCTGATTCTACCCTCTTTCCCAATATGGATTCCAGACCACATGGGAAGCCATCCACACCACGAATTGCAGAGAGGACACAGGCACTTGGACTCTTCTAACATGAATGAGCTTTTTGACATGGAAAAACATCACAACATCAAAATAGTGAAGATGTAGTTCCTTCACACCCTTTCTATAACTTAACTGACCAGGGAGGGTTTGGGTCTGGGATTTTTTTTCAAGAAAATTTACTCCTGTACTGACAAACTTCAGCATAAACATGCAAAATTGTTCACTGAGCTACAAATCCCTGATAACAGCATTATTATTTCAAACGTGTGTGAAATGATTTGCAGATGTTAATAATTTGCGATGTCTGTAAGGATATTTTTAAAGCAGCCTTGCAAAACTATCGTGAAACTTTTACTTCAAGGGGAGTTCTGAACTAACGCATGTATGCAGAATTAGTCTTTTCCTTCCCCCCGTAACAGATTTCTTTGCTTTCCCGCCAAAAATGACAGGGAAGCAGAGGAAAGCTGCAAAAACAAGCTTCTCACCAGCAGCACAGGCACATCATTTTGGGCACCTGGAGCAGCCAGGAGAGAGGTAAATCACTTTTGGGGGTGGGTGATGGAACTTCCTCTCCTGCACCAGAGTCAGCTTCCAGTCGCAGCTGGGCTGGGAGAGGAACAGACTTCCTCTTCCCCTGCAAGGAGCAGCCAGGGCAGGGTTACATCCACCCCCCAGAAATCTCCCCAGCTGGAGGAAGCTCTGCACCTCTTCCCCTGACTTCCTACCTACATCACATCTCAGCTGCAACAGAAGGGGTCACTGTATGGGCAGCTGTTCTCCCATTTGCCCAGTCCCAGTGCATCCTGATCCCCACATACTTACCTACAATCCCCCCATAAGTCTCAGCTCTCTGTACCCTGAACTCTCCAACCAAACCCCACCAACCCTACATCTGAACCCCCCAACTGTATACCCAGACTACCACCTGTGTGCCCCCCCCAAACTCCCACTTCAATGAGCCCCATCCCCCCACCTGGATCCCAATGAACCCCATCCCCCCACCTGGATCCCAATGAACCCCACCATACCCACCCCTCCATTCCTCACTCTCGCAGCACCTAGAGCCCCATGTATTTCCCCATACCAAGACCACTCTGTTGAGCCCCAACCACCTTCACTGGACCTTTCACAGAGGCCCAGTCCACATACACCCACAACTCACCACCAAACCCCTGTACATCCAGACCCTGCCGCATTGAGAGCCCCATCAAGCCACCTGCACCCAAATCGCACCTCATAAATCTCCCCACACTTGGATCCTGTTGGACTGAGGCTGCTTGTCCCATAGCTGATCGGGGCCAGGGCTGGGCATGCATGTGAGCCTGTCCCTATTTACTATCTTAGTGCACCTGGCATAAAGGGACAGGATCCTAGGGTGTTTCTGGGGCAGGCCCAGCCCTCACGCTGTGTAAGGGATGGGTGCAGACTCACTGCCAAGTCCATATGGGGGGGGGAGGGGAGAAGGGGGAGTTGCAAGGTAATCTCTCACTTCCATGCAGCCATTGGCCTATGCCCCCCACTATCTCCACATATATTAACTGACAAATAAAATAAACAGAATTTTAAGATATTGTGTGCAGGGTTTTTTTTTTGTATGCAGAATTCCCCCAGGAGTATACTCTACTAGCTCAAGCACAGACTATCCTTTTATCATGAAAAATAAACTACTCTTCTATTTACTTGCCAAAAAACTACATGCCCTGGATGTCTGGAAAAGGACATTTTGCAAGACTGTTTTACAGGTCTGGTTTAATGAACCCAATATAAAATTAAACTCCATTAAGAGGAAGGCCCTCATTGAAATTCAGGCTACAGAAAGACATGTTTTATTTAATCAAATGAAAACATTTTATTGGTACCTCTGACTGATGCCCTATGCTTTCATTGTCTGATCCAGAGTGCTGATCATTTACATCATCTTCAGCATCAGACCCTGAATCCCGTTCATCCTGTACTGGGGTGGCTCCACCATCATCTGTACCAAAATAAAAACATTTAAAAGTCAATAATTTCTTTCAACAGCTAAAAAATATGAGCTTTTTCACATTTCTGCAAAAAAGACCTAGCAGGCATGATCCACAATCAGAACTTCTACTCCCAGAATTAAAACAATACTGTTAGAAGATGGAAAAAGACTTCAGCAAGTATTGGATTTCAGAGAGTAAAACCAGAAGCTACAGTACACACTCATCAATTAAATGATAAAAAGTTTGCTTCTTTTATAGCCGATCCTTTAAGGATTGTGATTCCCAGCAGCTACACTCTGAAAATGAACCATTTAAAATTATGTCCAGAACAAAATGTATCAGGAAAGTTTGAAGTAGAGGCAAATCTGCCACAGTGATCCTTACTACTCTCAGAGACACAGGCCACAGAAACTTACATTATAAAAATGGAACCAACAGTTTTATATGATCATCAAAACTATTACATGTAGCATAAAAACAACCACTTCATATTCAATGACATTGTCAGAGACCTAATGACGTTAACCTGCATGTTTTAGGGCATGTCTGCATAGTTTTTGTACTACTATAACAATTTTGTTTTAGAAACAGATGTAGTTGAAATGATAAAACTCTCCAGTGGCCCAATCAGCACACAGCTCCAGACCATATGACAATCTCAGAGCCATCTAAGTAGTGTAGTGGACCTTCGCGATTCCACATATTTACAAGTCTCTCCTGTCCTGGCCTGGGAAGAGGTGGCTTCCCGGAACTGCAGTAAGTTCAGGAGCCACGAGAAGCTCACTGCTGTGGCCAGAAGATGCAGGCAACGTACTGTGGTGGCAGGGAGATGCAAGGAGCTTACCACAGCTCCCGGCCACATGCTTAGTTCCTTGCGGCTGCCAGTCTGGGAGTCTCAGCTCCCAGTATTTGTAAATTGGCTCCCAGTATTTGCAAATTTCACCATTCACAGTGGTGCCAGTAGCGCAAATTTCACCATTCGCAGTGGTGCCAGTAGTGCATCCACCACAAATGGCAAGGGTTTCAGACTGTGCAGACGCAGCCCACATATAACACAGAGAGCTACATATGCAGCCAAGCTTTCAACCATGCCTGTTTTGACAGCCAGAAAGAGCACTTTCAGCCAAGCTTTCAACCATGCCTGTTTTGACTGCCAGAAAGAGCACTTTCAACATATCAGCACAACTGAATTGCTTTATCACATTCCCTTAATACTCATTAACATGCAGTCTAACACATTTGAAAGCACATTAGCTGGTTGTGCTGTATCCTAGAGAAGTCTAGGACAACACAGCCACCTAACAAATTTTCAAACATGTTGGTCTACATATTAGATCCAGTCTACTCTAAAGTAAAGGTGTCTTTTTTAGCATGCAATAGTTAACATATTTTAAGATTCTAGCACAGACAGTGCAAGCTGTAGTTTTAACATGTATTGGTTCAACCATAACCAACTAACACATTAGAACTACAGCTTGCCCTGATTGCACTAGGATTTGGAAATATAATAGTTATTTTTTAAAAGCACCCTTGTTTTCCCACAGCAGACACGTCATTAATGAAACTTAAGAGGAATTTTTAATTGTATGAAAATAACCTGAGCTAACATTTGAAAATCACACTTATTTGCTCAACATACCAGGACCTTAAATCACTTGATCAGGTCATGCTGTTGGCGGTTAGACTTTTCATCTAGACTAAGATTTGAGATGTTAAGCATGTTAGCCAATACAGATGTTAATCAGTAAGCATACCAGTAAGCATGACATTTACCAGTATGCTTGCCTCTTAACTAGCTCTGGCCAGTAAACTCCGGTGGTGGACAGCCGTGCCAGGCCAGAGCAGCTCCAACTGTGGAAAGACTGGCGGGTGGGTCAGCAGAACCCCATAGTCACAGCGACGAGGAGTCCTGTGGCACCTTATAGACTAACTGAAGTGTAGGAGCATAAGCTTTCGTGGGCAAAGACCCACTTCGTCAGATGCATGTCACAGTGGGATCCAAAATAAAATGGTTAACTGATTAAGCACTCTGGTTTAACTGGTTAACAGTTTTTATATCCTTATTAGGCAACAGTGCTAATTCACAACGTGTTAACATTAAATTAAATCCTAGCTTAGGCAAGACCTCTTTCTGGCTCAAATGGGATTAATCTGGTTGAAGTAGGGATGCTAGATATCAGTTAATTGAAAAGTTGATTCATTATTATTGGTTAACTGACTACACTATTGCTTCCTTAGATGAAGATGACACCCTCCTGGCCACTCAAACCATCATACATGTCATCTCCACAACCTAGACAAACAACAATAACTCACAAGCCAGTGTGATGTAGGAATCATTGTGAGGCAAAGACCTCTTTGAAGACAGGCATGGAGGTTCTATTTAGCAGTGACTTCTACATGTAGTACACAAATGGGATAATACTGTGTTTGGGGGGCATCCTTTTCATTTGTGGGAGGAAGGACAGTTTAATGACCTGAATCTCTGAGATACCAAACTTCCACAGCTCTTGATTTAAGAATGATAGGTGATGGGAATGAGAACTTGACATGGTCATCGCTGTAGCTTTGGATAGCATCGCTCAACCTCATGCTTTTTTTTTTTCCTTCTTCATCCTTATTGGCCAAGCCAAGCCATTCCATTTCCAACAGCCCCAAGGCGCCTGCCACCGCTCTACCTGTCACACAGGCACCTCGGCCCACCTGGGGCTGCCCAGCCCAACGCCCAGGGACAGGCCCGTCAGCCTCCTACCTTGCAGCCAGGCCCTCCCCGCACAGCCCCCTGGTGTCACCCGGCCTCCCCCCCAGGGCAA